AGGCTGTAGCAGGCGTATCCTGTTTTCTAGGAAAAAGAGGATTTTGTGGCCAGCTTTGTTAGAGAGGCATTGAAGGTTTTTCTTTGTGTGCCTTCGCGTTTGAAGTTTACAGACGGGTAGCTGCAGACTTTCTAGATGTTCTGGTTACACGGATGACACTTATTTTTAACCTTATTTTTATTAGAGGTTTGTATCATGTGGGCCTGGCCAGCCCACAGGAAGGGCTAGAAACTTCTTGTAGGAGGGATAACACTTCCTATCTCTGTGTAAACAGCAATCCTCCCCCAGATGGGAAAAGCCAGCCCAGCTGTAAGGGAAGCTGGGGCTGTATTCCCACATATGGCAGCAGGATGAGGCTCTCTCACAGCAGGGAGAGACCTTGCTTCTAACAGCCAGAGCCCTGTTGGGTGGCACAGCTCTCCCCAGGCTCAGGAGAGGTGCTGGGGATGGGAGAGCTGCTCTGGGGAGCCGTGGTGAGGAGCGGATGGTCTCTGGGAGCTGTGATGGAGCAGCACTGGTGGAGCTGGTGGAGAGGCGGGTGGCCAGTGCAGGGCTGGGGCAAGGGCTCAGGCCATGGAGAAGCTCGTGGAAGAGGAGGACACATCCTGTGGGACATGATCCCATGATCCTATGGGGTCTTGCAGCGAAGAATGCCAGGCAGAGAAAATGATGTTACTGCAGGCTGGGAAAGAGCTGCTGAGCTGTGTGTGTGCCGACATGGGGACCCCAAAGCCTGAACCCAGCAGGAGCATCACCACTGACTTCAAAAGGAGAAGTTCCTCCTGCTCCCAGCCCCGGTTCACGACTGTCTGAGGTGATTTAATGGTGCTGGTGCTCATCCCTACCTGTGAGAAGACTAAACAAGAACTCAGCTGTTACTGAGACCTGGGAACCCGGGACCCACAGATCTGGAGGTGACAAGGTTGCACTGCCAACAGCTGTAGGTAATGACACATATTTGCTCAATCACTTTATTTGTGGAGGGTCTCCAGGCACGCTCCTGTGACACATGGAGCAGGTCCTGACTCAAAGCCTTGGGTGCAAAGCAAGAGACAGGAGGTGGTGGGAGCCAGAGCAGAGCTGCAGTCAGGGAGTGGTGTTGGTTTGCCTGACCAAGAGAATTTTAGGAAGAAATTTGAAGTGGGGGAACTGGGTGGACAGAGAGGAGCTGGGCCTGGTGCCATAACCCAGGTGCACTTCAGAAAAGGCATTGGCTGAGCAGCCTTTGGTGAGGAGGAGGATTGAGGGTTGGGAGTGAGGAGTGATGCATGGAAGGGCTGGCATGGTCGCTGGGAAGCGTGTGAAAGATGAGGAGTCATTTCTGATGTGAATGGGTGTTGCCAATCCCAACTGTGTGATAGTGACAGGGAATGGCTTCTTCAGCTGGTCGGTCCAGCTCCATGGATTTGAGATGCCAGCCAGATGGGGGAATGGTTCCTGCTGGAATGATTTCCTGCAGAAGCTGGGCAGCCCAGCCTTGCTGCTGGTGGGAGTTCCTCTGTCATGGGGAGGGATGTGATGTGCAGAGGACATGCCACTTAAGCCCAGGGGTAGGGAGGGACTCCTCACCTCTCCCTCCATGTTCACATGAGCCCTGGCCATGCTGCCCAGCTCCTTGCAGCTGCTCCAGCAATGGAGCAGAGGGGCTGTGCCCCCACAGCCATGTCCCATTGCTAGTCCTTGCTGGAGAGCCGTAGGGCTGGTGGGGAGCAGCAAGGGAACTGCTTTGGTATTCACCTGGCAGAGACTGCTGCTGCCAGCCCTGGCTCAGCAGGAGCTGCTGAGAGCCTGGTGTGGGATACTGGGAATGTCTGGCAGGAGCCTGGATATAAAATCCTCTGTAGAGGTACCTTGTTTCCCAGGAAATGCCATACAAATTCTCTTGATTGTTAAGAAATAAACTCACATCATCTCTCTGTGGTGTGTTTAGCAGAGACAGGGAAAGAATCAGGGTTCTTGTCTCATCCTCTGCCAGAGCTGCTTTGTCTGGTACCAGGCTTTTCCCACAAGCAGTTTGCACAGCCATCCTCTCCTGAATTAAATGATAACTGAGAGGCAGAGAGGGAAAGAGGGCGTTTCAGCCGGCAGGAGATTGATGGCAGGTCAGCGAGGCCAACAGCAGCAGGAAGGTTTCCGCAGAAAGGGAGAGGAGCCCATGGATGCTGGAAGGGCTGATTCCAGCCTCACAGTGCCCTGGAAACTCTAACGAGCACAGCACAGCTTGAAAAAGCGTTTCCCTTTCCCAAATCTGGAAAAAGAAACAGGAGTAAAATCTGTCTGTTTGTTTTAATCTCCTCCCCTGAGCTGCAAATTGCCTTTAGGTTTATGCAATACATGTTTGTTTGAACGGTGATGTCCAGTGTTCCCAAGGGCTCATCCAGAGCGGGTTTCTTAGCTCCTCCTGTTCATTTGCAGAATTTTTTTTACATTTGCTGCCAATTTTTTCATGCTTGTGTTCTGCAGGGATGGAGGGGTGGGTTGGGGGAACCTGCTGCACAGGCCTGGGGCTGGTCCACATGCTTCCTGCAGATTTCACACACTTTGGCTAACTAAGTTTTCCTCCTGACCTTGAAAGCTCATTTCTGTCACACCAGGATAATCATATTCCTTTCCTTACTGGTATATACTCTTCTGCTGGATCTAGAAGTAATAACAAACGAGCAGAGAAGATTATACCCCACGTGGACTCCGGATGCTTTGTCTGGGGCAGGAGAGGCGCGGGCTGTGTCCCTGGCCCCGGCGCAGCCCTGCAAGTGTCTCGACTCTGGACGGGAAAGGGAAAGGACAAACAAAAACTAAGTGTAAAACTTGTGAGGCTTTGTCTGCCCACGCTGGACTGCACGGGGTTGTGCTGCACAGGGCTCTGTGGGGCATGGCGCTGCTGGAAACTGGTGGGCAGAGGGGTGGCTGGGCGGGTGAGGGCTCTGCCCGGCCCCGGCGTTCCCCTTCTCTCCCCGGGGGGCGGTTGTCTCCTCTGCCTCGGGGGCTGATCTTCGGGGGGCTCCGAGGACCAAGCCCCGGAGGAATGCTGAGGGTTAGGGGGATGCAGGGCAGTGGGGGCCACACCGGGACGCCGGCGGGTACCAGGGTATGGCGTGAGACATCATAAGGGTGTGGAGCCCCCGAAGAGGGATGCTGAGCCCCGGGGAGGAGATGCAGGGCACCGGAGAGGGTATGAGGGGAACTGGGAGCATGGGGGGATGTGGGGCACTGGGCGATAAGGAGTCCCGGGTGATGCGGGGCAGTGGAGGGGACACACCGGGACGCTGAGGGTGCGGAGTGGCGGGAGGAGGATGCGGCGCCCCGGGGGATGAGGGCCCTGAAGGAATGCGGGACCCCGAGGGCTGCGGGCCCGGGGGACGCGGGGGGGCCGGGCGGGTGCGGTGGCGGTGCGGGCCCCGCGCTCCCCTCCCCCGCCGTGGGGCGGCGAAGGAGGAGGAGGAGGAGGAGGGGCTGCCCAGCACGGGCAGGGTTAAAGCGCCATGTAACCGGAGCGCGGGGCTGTCGGGGGCCGGCCGGGGCGCGGGAGGCGGCGAGCGGCGGCGCGGCCCCGCTGGACGGCGCGTCCCGGCGCGGCGCAGGTGAGCGCTGGACCGGGGGGACCGGGGGGTCGGAGCTGGAGCCGCGGAACATCCTCGTGGGCGGCTTTGTTGTGCGCGGCGGCGGCGGGGGACAATGGGGCGGGCGGGGACTCGGCACCGGGCGCACCGGAGCGCGGCTGCGGGAGCGCCCCGGCCGGTCCGGCGGCCCCGGTGCCCGGTAGCCGAGGGCTCGCGGCTCCGCCCCGGGAGCTCGGGCAGCGGGCTGGGGGCGTGGGTCCTGCCGCCACTTGTTGCCGGCGCTCGGCTCCGGGGCGAGTTGAGGGGATCGGTGCTTCTACAGCCCCGGGCATGGTCCCCCTGGTCCCGCCCACCCCTCCGGTCCCGTCGCAACTTTCGGAGTTTCCCGCAGCGGCGCCGCGAGCCCCGGGGGCGCGTCCCGGGACTGTCACAGCGGGGCCGGTGCGGGACCCCCCACGACCCGCGGGGCCGGGCTGGGGCTGAGCCAGAGGCTGGGGCGGGAGGGTCCCCTCGCTGACACGGCGAGTGATGGCTGCGGGGTGGGGGGTGGTTCGGGGGGGGCCGGGGTCCCCCTTCTCGGCTCAGCGGCCCCGGGCAGCGCCGCCTCCAGGCCGGGGGCTCTGGGGAGCTACCGGGGGTACCGGGACGCGGTGGCGCTGCTGGTCGGGCCGAACACCTTTGTTTTCGATTCTCGGTCGGGGATCTGACAGCGCATCTTTCTTCTCTGTTGGCAGGAAAAGCAGCTCCCGGCGGAGCCTCAGGCGCGAAGCCTCCCCGGGGCCGGGTCGGAGGGACCGGGACGGCCGGGGCAGGTACCGATCGGAGGGCTCTGCTGGCATCCGCCTGCTGTAGAGCCCGGGGGGGAATCCGGGGGGCAGTAGAGCATCGAAGAAGGAGGAATGAACTTCGGAGTGGCCCAAACGTGGGGCACAAGTACCGAGAAGCCGGGAGAGGGGAGTGGCGGGGGGACCCCATGGCAAGTGGGGCGAGCAGTGGTCCTACACCGACCTCCTTCGGAATGGGACAGGGAAAACAGCGGGGCGGCTGGAACGTGCTGCCCTGAGCAGGACTCGCCTTTCCTGCCTAAGTTTCTAATTTCCAGAGAATTTTTAATGAACTGTGGGGGAGTGAGCCCGGGTATCCCAGTCCCGGCTCTGGGGCTGTGCGGGGCCGGGCAGAGGGGCGATGGGGACACCGAGGTGTCATTGTCATGGCTTTACGTCCTCTTGTGCAGGGGGAAGATGAAGCAGTGACTGCTCTGGACAGAGGACCTGCCACTGCTGAGAGGGACCCACCTGAGCACCGGAGCCCCCACAGCCCCCAAAAGCTGCCAGCCCTGCCCTCAAGTCCCTGCCTGCAACCCCCAGCCCTGCCCGAAGGCAGCCCCTGCCCCACGCCGGGGGGCTCGGGAGGGGCCCGGCCCGGCGGGATCCCACCGGGATGAGCATGGTAAAGAGCCGGGAGCGGCTGGAGCAGCGGCTGGCGGGGATGGTGGCTGCCCCGGAGACGTCTCCAGCCTGGTCTGCACTGGGAGAGGAGGGGCTGGTTTGTGTTTTGTTTCTTTTCTTTAGCCCGTCTTTGGTGAAAGGCAGCGGGGAGAGCCGGGATGGGCGCCGAGGGCTGCGGGGGGAGCGGAACGGGGCAGGAGGAAACCGGGGGAAATGGAGGGAAGTGCCGGAGCGGGAGAGCGAAGGGGCCAGGCACAGGAAGCGGGCAGGGGGAGCCTGCCCTTCGCCCCTTGCCCTTCCCAGCAAGCACATCTGCGAAATGGGCGCCTTTTTTACGGAACTGCCAACCCAGCAACTCCTTTCTTTCCAGGATTAGAGGGAAATGTTCGGTTTGGGGAGACTTAAAGGCCATTAGTGTGCACCACAGCCCAGAGCCAGCCCGGCCATTAGGGTCCTTTATTTCTTTTTGTTATTCAAACAGGGCTTGGGCGATGGCTCCATCCCAGCCATCGGCAAAGCTTCCCTCCAGCCTTTTGATATGCATGCCCCTGTCTGGAGGCAAAGTCCGCAACCTCCCCACCTCCTGGGGACACGCACCTGATAACAGGGCAGCCTGTTTTCCCAGCAAGGAAAACTGAAACCAGCCTGGGCCAGGCTGGGGGAGCAGCCCCGGGAGCAGGGGCAGGGGTCCAGTCCAGAGCACAGTCCGGCCAGGTGAGCTCTGCCTTCCCTGCCCACCCTGCCCTCTCTGCCAGGTGAGTCCAGCTGTCATGCCCACTCTGACTGCTCTGCCTGCTCCAGGGTGGCTGGCAAGCATGGCCAGACAGGGACCAGAATTCTCTCTAAGCAGTTAATACTGTGGCATGGTCTTTAACCAGTTTGGCAAATCTTAAAGAAACTGGTATTGCAAAATGAGGGCGGGCTCCAAAGTCAGCGGGTTCATTGTCTCCTCGGTGGGATTTGGCTGCAGGGCACGTCCTGGTCACCAGGCAGTGCCGGGGCTGCCGCTGGCGCCAGGCTCTTGGGGAGCTTTCGGCAACTCTGGAATTCTGTGTTGTTTTCCTCCTCGTGGGTTCCCATCTGGAGCGCATGGCTGTGGAGCACCCGGTGTGTTTGCAGGGCGCCGGGCAAAGCAAACACTGCAGGGCTGGTCTCCTCCTCCCGTGAGACAGCACATGTGAGGGCAGTGCTCTGTTTCTTATTATTTTCGTAATGCCCTGCGTGCACATGTTGGTGTGTTTCTGCAAGGGGAGGTGAGGACAAAGAGCCGAGCCTTCCTTCCAAGCAGGAGTGGGTGAGCTCAGAAGGACGTGGCTCCCATGGGGGGACCTGGTGTGGGCTGTGAGTGGCAGGACGGGCTTGGGCGTGAGGCTTCAGTGCTTGGTACAAACGGCAGCGGTAGGAGGAGAAAGGATGGGAGTTACAGTCCTGCTGCATAAGTGTGGGATTTTGGGAAAGCGAGACTTTTAACGAGCAGCTTGGGCTGTGGTGTGCTGTTCCCTTTCCCGTCAGAGGATGGTGATGGGGATGTCCTCCAGTGATCTTGGGCGGTGCAACTGGAGAGAACACGCAGCAAACAGTGAGCTGGCCTGCTTCTGCTCACGGCAGGGCCTCCAGCCCAGTGCCACGGACCTGCAGAGCTGTGGCCTGTGGGTCTCCGCTCTGCCAGGGGGCAGTTCCTTCGAAAGGGATAACTCCTTTTCCCCCACTTTATAACTGGAACAAAGACAGTGTGGGAGCTCCCTGAGCACGTGACAAAGCTGAGCTTTGTGTGTGTGTGGGGGTGCTCAGTCCTGGTTGTGTCACATTCCAGGGGAAACCTGGCCACTGCCTCACCCTTCCCTGCTGCCTCCCTGGCACGGGGCTGGCAGGACACCCTCGCCTGGTGGCCTGGCGAGCCCTGGCCATGCTGGGCATCAGGCAGCCCCAGAGCTGAGAGAGGAAAAGACATTTTGAGGTGCAGGTTTGAACTTCCTGGGCTCCTGAGAGGGGACTGAATGCAGGGTTCCTCTGGGGTTTTGTAGCTGCAGATGTTTAATAGGGCTGGGGGGTGGCCTTGCCTGCTCCTGTTCTCCCTGAATCTTACCTGTCTCATGCTGCCTCATCTGCCTGTCCCCTCGGGGTCACCCTCACTGGGAGAACAGTGGGAGAACAGTGGGAACAGCATATCCTCTCACACCTCCCTGTAGGGATTCCCAAGGGTGATTCACTACTGTTTGGTGAGATTTGCTGGTTTTGGTGGCAGCATCATCACTGGCTGTGGCTGCTGCTGCTCTGCAGCATCTGTGGGCTGGGGAAGGGGAACAGACCAGGAGGAGCTGACCCGGCTGTGCTGTGCTGGGGTGGATTGCTGCATCCGGGGCCATGTGGGACCGTCCACCTGGACTGGGGGCAGGCAGCGAGTCTGGGCAGCTCCCAGGAATTGTTTGCTGGATCTGGGAGCAGATGTGCTGCAGCAGTGGGATTTCTGCACACAGAAATCCCCCACGCAGCTGTTAGGGGGTTATGCAGCTTCAAACTCCGTCTGGTGCAATTTCTCTCCTTCTCCCTTGGTTGAGGGGGGAGGCAGGATGTGCATGGGGATCTCTGCCTGGGGAGGTGGGCACTGGACACATGTTTTCCTTCATGTTTGGGTGTTAGCAGGTTTTCTAACTCTGCCCTCGGCATCCAAAACATCAAACCCCAACTGGTCTTTGTTAGCCAGAGGTGCTGACAGATGATTTCAAAGCAGTAATCTCAATTGTTAGGGCAGCGGTTGGAGGCAATGTGGAGTGAGAGTGACACAAAAGGGGCAGTGGGCTGGAGCTGGGGTCTCTCTGAGGCTGGGGGGGTGTTGCTTTGGCTTCCTTACAGGGCTGTAGGTGGGCAAAGCCCTATGTGCTCCTCAGCTCTTGCGTTACATGCTCCTGAAATGACTGTGCTGCCGAAGGGGCAAGTTGCAGCACAGACCCATAGCCCAGCAATGAGGCAGCGTTGTTCACGGCGTCCGGGTGCCTCCAGGAGAGCCAGAGCTTCCACCTCGAAAAACAGGATCCGGGGAGGGCACCCAAGGGAAGGCGGAGGCTTCTGAGCTCAGGCAAGGGGAGCCCCAGCTCTGCAGGGGGACACCAGGGCAGGGGGTGCCGCTGCACAGCCCCCTGCCCTGCCCTCTTGCCCTGGGGCAGGGAAGCTGAGGCCAGGAGTGGGGGGCAGGAGGAGTTTTCTCCCTTTGGGGGAGTTTAACTGGCTGCAGGCTCCAGGACTTTGCCCCTCATGGCGGGCGGGCTGCCTGCCTGTCCTGCTGCTGCAGGCACAGCCCACCCACGCCTGGGCAGCTGTAATGGTGCCCCGGGGGTGGGCTGTCCCCGGGGGTGGGCTGTCCCCGGGGGTGGGCTGTCCCCTGGGGTGGGCTGTCCCCTGGTTTCTGCAGGGTGGCAGGGAAGTGCAGCTCCCCTCCAGACTGGGTCCAGCAGAGCGAGGTGGGGCTGGGCAGCACCAAGCCCAGGAGTATTCCACAGCATACGGATGGTGGGGAAAAGCCCTGTGTTCCCTAAAGATGAGTGGGTTGTGTCTGGAGCCTCTGTTAGCTGAAGCTGGTGGATCTTTAGGGCCACCACATTTGTGGGGAGGTTTTGTCCAAGTGCTGTTTAGCTCCCAGGACCCCTCCAGATGTGTCTCTAGTCAGACCCCACTGCTAAGGGCGTGAAGTTGTGGCTGGCTCAAGGAGCTCACACTGTCTGCTTTGCCCTCCTTGAGTCTTCCTTCATGGCTGAATTTCCTTTCCACTCTGGCTTCCACAGGCGACCACGAAACAGGACAAGAGCCATGGGCAGGATGAGGCAGACTGCAGGCCAAAGCTGATCCTCCTCAACGGGGACTGCACCAATCCTGCTACGCCCAGCGTTGTACTGGAGGCGAATGGGAAGCCCAGTACTCCAGGTGAGGGTCACCACGGTGTGCCCAGAATGCATCCTGCCTGGGATGTGCAAGGATAAATGGGGTTTGGGATCTCCCAGCCACTGTATGAGGCACTGGCGGGGTGGGGGCTGCAGTGCTGCAGCCATGGCCAGGGTCCCTCCGTGATGTGACTCCACTGGGTTTCTGCAATCTTGTAGCACATCCAGGCCATGACCTGGTTGTGGAAAGGGGTGCCACAGTGGGAGGCTGGCTCTGCCCCTTGATAGTTGAATCCCCTGGAGCAAGGGAAGAGGGGGAGCCCCACCAGCCTGAGGGGTGCCACTGCTCCTGAGATGCTCCAGTCTGGGCTTTCCAAATCCCACCTCTTGGGTAAACAAGGTCCTGTTTTAAATGACCTGGTGACAAGCCCTGAATAGCTGGCTTGTGCCCCTGAGCTCTCAGGAACTAAGTAGATCAGAATGTCACCACACTTGCTACTGGTCCCTCCCAGTTTTGGGGACAGGTGGGTGATCCGGGGGTGTGGTGCCGCGATGGGGAGCCCTGGGAACACCACTTTGTCTCTGCTCCTGGCCACAATTCTCCAAGATGAGATTTCTGTCTCTCCAAATCATGACATGCTCTTGAGAGCAGTGGGACATGCAGAGGCATGTGGGGACACAGCTAGGAGGGCTTGCAGAGCCTAAAGCTGCTCTGCCTTGTCCCTGCACAGATCCCATGGACCTCACGCTGTTGCCTCTGCAGAACAAGAAGGACAGCAATGGAGACCTCTCCAAGGAGGACCTGGCCTGGCCACTTGGCCTGGCGGGGGTGCAGAAGGTAAGATATCACCTAGGCTGCTCTTCAGGGGCTGTCTGTGGGGGCATCCAGTGCCAGAATCCTCATCTCTTTCCCTCTGGGCTGTTCTTGTGCTGGGGGAACAGTCCAGTGGTGGATGCAACACTCATTTACCAGTGTAATATTGTAATTTTTAAATTCCTGATTTACATGAGACCACAGCAGCAGGAGGGGGTGGTGTGAGATGCAGTGATGCCCACTATGTGTTGCAGCAGCCTAATAATTGTCATAATTATTATGCTGATGTTTTCTTTGAAAAGTCTTGTCTGTATTGATGGACTGAACAATCTCGTGTCTCCCTCTCTTGGGCTGGGCTGCTTTTAGCTGCCTTGGGGCTGCACCCCAGTTTCACCCACCCTCTTTTGTTGACTAGGTTGACAAACCTCCAGGATCTGGAAGCATTTTTGCCTTCTTGCTTTATTGTTTTGAGTTAGAAACAAACCCCAAGGTTGGAGATCTGCCTGAGATGAGGCAGCTTCCAAAAGAAAGAGCCATAAATCCAGTGGGTGAAAATTCAGCTTTCCCACTATGTTTGGTTCAGGGGCTCTTTGCTGCAAAATCTCGTTTAATTTTGAGCCTTGTTATGCCGGATGCAGGAAACATGCCTGGGCTGGACTGTGTCTGTGACTGCTGGGGAAGGGCTGCTGCAGGGTGCTGCAGGGTTCTGCTGCAGGGCCAGCTGTGAGAGGAAGCACTCACGGGTGTGTGAAAGCATCCATGGGTATGTGAGTGGGTCCGTGCCTCCAAGGGGTGCTCTGCTGGGGCCTGTGGCTCTCCTGGCATCCAGTGCTCCTGGCTATGGCTCCTGCTGCTGTTGGTCATGCCGGACGCAGGGCTGCAGCAATGGGTGCTCCTGAACCCTGCAGAGACTCTGTGGAAGGCATGGTTGCCCAGAGGGGCTCAGCACAAGGTGCCTCCAGCAGCCGTCTACTCTCCTCTTGCCCTCCCCAGGGCTCTGGTGCCGCTGGTGCTCGGCCCCGTGAAGCACAGGCTGTCCGTGTCCTGCATGGGGAGGGCACCCTTGCCATGGCACCTCTCTGTTCTGGTGGCAGGTGCAGCCCCGGGGCAGTGCTGGGTGGGAGAGCAGCCTCAGGCAGAAGCCCACAGTCCACCTCATCTTCCAGGCAGGGCAGGCCCGGCACGTGACGAGGATCAAGGATCGAAGCAGTGTGGAGGCTCTCAGGGACCTGCGAACTCCTGTGCGGGTGAGGGTCTGCAGGTCTATGTGGGATCATGGCTTCCCTGGGGTTTTCCTGGGGCTCCAGAGACCTGCACTCCTGTTGCACCCTGGGCAAGCAGCTTTGGACATGGTGCAGACTCTCAGGGCCTCAGTTTTCCCTGTGTAGATTGGAGTGAGTTTGCTGTTTCTTGCCCTTTCTATGATTTGGATGTGTTGAACACCCTGGAGTGGATTTGGGACAGGAAAAGGGGAGAGAGCAGTGGTGTGCCATTTGCTTTGGGTCTGACAAGTAAAAGCTGAGCAGTTCTCCTGCAGAATCTCCTGTTAAGGGCTCTCCTCTCTGCTCATGGCAGCAGCAGTGCCCTCAATCACTGGCTCCCCTTCTCCAATCCCGACTGTGAGGTTGGGGGATGATGTGGAGCAGGTCTCTGTTCCCCACTGCCCCTCTCCTTGCGGCACTGACCTTCTCTCCCTTTGCCATGCAGGGCTCCAGGCGTCGCTCAGCCGTGTCCACACCGCTGACCATCGACCTGACAGAGGATGACTCCCGGGACTCATCCCAGAGCAGCAGCACACTCTCTGGCAGCAGCTCCCAGGAGGGGCAGAATGGCTCTGCCGAGCTGGGGGCTGAGGAGTCAGAGAGCAGAGACGTGGGGATGGCACTGGAATACCAGGTACGGAGGGGCTGAACTCTGCTCTTGCATCCACGGTGGTGTGGGGCGAGGATGAACCTCCCTGGCTTGTCCTAAGCCTGTGCAGGCGTGGGGAACCTCTGGAAACCTCACTGCTGCTTCTCCTGTCTCCCCTTCCCTGCCTGCCCTTCCCTGTGTGCCTGGGGTGTGATGGTCTCAGGCTGTGGGGGTAGCTTACTGCCGAGGGACACTTTAGGGATCAGTCCTGGCAAGCTGCCTCCAGTGCCACACACGGGCCTCCCGAGACACGCATGCGTGGCATGTGCCCTGCCGTGCTGTGCCCCGCTGAGACAGGCAGTTGCATGTGCAGAAAACATTTCTGTCGGGGATGCTGGAGAGAACTGAAGCTGCTGGGGCTGCAGAGCGGGATTCAGCGCCTGCAGGCCATGGGGCAAGGCCCCAGACTTGCAGGAATTGGGCAATTGCATCTTGCTGCATAATTAGGAGCCTAATTGCAGAACAAAGCTGGAAAGGAGGGCTCTGCAGGCAGAGGTGACTCTGCTCTGTGCGGTGCCCTCCCCATGTAAAGCACCCAGCATGGCCCTCAATGGGTCACATCAAAATTCTTGGTTCTTTTTCATCTCCTTGATTTCACTCTGCCCTGTTTCCTGCTCTCCCCAGTGGGAACAAGAGGGATGGGTGGGTGGGAACCCTCTCCCTGGGCTGCAGCCAGATGGGCTGAGCTGTGAGCCCTGTGAACGGGCTGCCCTGTGCCAAGGAGGAACCTCGGGGCACCCAGGGAGCAATCTCAGGGCAAGGCTTCCCAGTGTTTGCAGAGACCCTGGGAGGGCAGGCAGGAGTGGACACGAACGGGGCCTGGTGCCAGGAGGGCTGTGCAGGACAGAGCACGCACCATGCCGTGTGCCAGGCATGGGCTCAGCGTGGGGCTGGCACACACAGACCTCCCCACTGAGCTCTGGCATGGTGCAGGGCTGGGAGCCAGTGCTGCCAGGAGGTGCTGGACCATGTGCTTGAAGGAGGAGGTGCAGCCTGTCTTGCACAGACATCCAAGTGTGTGACACACGTGGCAGAGCAGCTCTTCAAGGCGCTCTGGGTCCATCCCCTCTGCTCCAGGGCTCTCACGCAGAGCTGCCCAGATAAAATAGGGCGTTTGTGCTTTTTGGCAGACCTGTGTTGTCATCTCTTGCTTTCAGGATGGGAAGGAATTTGGAATTGGGGAGCTCGTCTGGGGGAAGATCAAAGGTTTCTCCTGGTGGCCTGCGATTGTTGTCTCCCACAAAGCCACGGCCAAGCGCCAGGCTGTGTCAGGCATGCGGTGGGTGCAGTGGTTTGGAGATGGAAAGTTCTCTGAGGTAAGCCTGCTGTCTGCCCCTGCCTGCTGTGCCCAGCCCCAAACCCCCTCCCCTGAACATTTCTGCCCCACTCCTGGGGCTGCCTGTGGGGTGTGTGTGCACCCTGCAGCCTCCCTGGGCAGGCACCCTGGTGTTCACTAGCCAGGCCTTGGCAGGCTCTCATGGCTCTGGTGTCTGTAACTAATAATTGGACACTGTAGGTTGGTGACATTATCCAGCAGTGGGAACATATACCTGGCCCCTACGCAGGGTTTTTCCAGGCCTTGGGCTCCAGGCGTGCCCAGGAGCCCTGCCTGGTTAGGAATGTCCCATCAGAGACCCATCACCCCCCCCACAGATTGAGAATATCTTAAGTTGGAAGGGACCCATGGGGATCATTGAGTGCAACTCCTGACCCTGCTCAGGACAACCCCGAAATCCCATTGTGTGCCCAAGAGTGTTGTCCAACACTGCTTCTCGAGCTCTGGCAGGCTGATGCCGTGACCACTTCCCTGGGGACCCGGTTCCAGTGCCTGACCACCCTCTGAGTGAAAAACCTTTTTCTAATATGCAACCAGGATATCCAACCCCTCCCATGCTGCAGGCGGGAGGGAGGGAAGTGCCGTGCTGGTGTCACAGTGCCGGCAGAGGGTGCAACCCTCCCATCCTTGTTATGGTTATGCTGCCGTTAGGCTTCCTCCCCTGGCTGTGGTGCCGCAGGGTCGGGGCTGGGAATGCAGTGCTGGAGGGGAAATGGCCGGGCTGGACATTCCTGTCCTGTCCCGCTGGTGAGCTCTTGTCACTCTCTCACAGGTTTCTGCGGACAAGCTGGTGGGACTGATGGCCTTTAGGCAGCATTTCAATTCTTCCACGTTCAATAAGCTGGTGTCCTACCGGCGCGCCATATACCATGCCCTGGAGGTAACCACCAGGGGTGGGTGGGTGGGTGAGGTGCCAGCTAAACCAGCTGGACTTGGAGGCAGCGGGATGGCACTCAGGAAAATAGTCCTTTCTCTGCTAGGATGATTTGCAAGTGCAGCTGTGGGGCTGAGCTCTGCTTATCATCGGGGTTCAGGGTTAACTGCTGCTGCTCCAGGGTCTCGCTGATCCAGATCCCAAGGCCCTTGCTGCTCCAGATCCCCAGGTCAGGCTCCCTGCGCTGTCTCGGACACAGCAGCATCACAGCAGCAGGGCAGTGCCAGGCTGGCCGGAGGTGTCCTGGGCTATTGCCAGGTGCCCTTTGGAGGCAGGGCTGCTGCTGAGCACCCTGTGTGTCCAATCCACATCCAGGGGGTGTGTCACACACCGGGATAAAGGGCTGCAGATCCACAGGCACCTCTTCTGCCTTCCTGTCGCTTGCCAGGGAGCAAGAATCTGGGCAAGAGCTAGAGCTGGGCTGTCCCTGCTCCTGGCTCCATTGAGGCTGGTGAAGGATGGATGGGCTCATTGCAGGGATGGAGGCACCAGAGCACAGCCGAGGGCACACCCAGAGCGGGAATCCATCAGCTGCTGCCGTCCCAGGGCTGCCAAGCCCCACATCCATGTGTGTTGGATGGGGAGGGGGCCTGGGGCTGTGGCCCTGGCAGGGGTGTGGCTGCTTCCCAGACAGAGACCACCCTGTCACCCTATCCCATGCTGTCCATTCTCGGCAGGTTGCCCGGAGCCGGTCGGGGAAGACGTTTACAACTGGCCCCAGGGACTCGCTGGAGGAGCAGCTGAAGCCGATGATTGACTGGGCAATCACTGGCTTCAAACCCCTGGGGCTCAAGGGACTGCAGCCACCCAAAACCTCAGGTGAGGCAGTGCCATCAGCTGGGTGGGGGCTGGCATGGGGCTGGTGTGGTCAGCAGCCACCAGTATCTGGCCCCAGCTGAGCCTGCTCACCCTGTGCCATGGCCGGGCCATTCCGGTCCCAAAGTGGTCCTGGAGCTCCTCACTGGGTCCCTGACAGTGACTTTGCAAAAAGCCAGAGCAAAGCACTCTCCATGCCCTTGCTCCTGGAAACCTGACTTGGCTGAACCTTGTGCCATGAGTGGGGAGCCCGGGTGGCCAGGAAGGGTTCTGCTTGTGACTGGGGTGGGACCTGGCAGGGCTTGGCAGGAGATGTCTCCCATTGCCCTGAGGTGGTCCTGGGGCTGGAGGCTCGTGCCCAGGGAGCTGCCTTTCTCTTGCAGAAAATGGGGTGCTGAGGAATGGGACGGAGGAGGTGCTGTCCCTTGAACAGTATCCCCCCACCAAGAGGCTGAAGAGCTACCCCTGCAACAATGGCAAGGAGCAGCGTGTGGAAGAGGACCAGACCCGAGGTAACCAACAGAGAGAGCTGGGGAGCGGCTTGGCCTGGGCTGTGCACCCTGAGAGCACTGGAAAACCATTCTGGTAAAGGGGTTGGCTCTTCCCTGGTGGCCATAAGCTTGATTCCTGAGGGCAGAAGCTTTTGTGATCCCATGGTGCTCAGTTGTGCCTTATTAGACACCAGCAAACCCAGCTGCAAGATTGGCTCAGCTTGGACATGGTCCATGAGCTGCTGTGCTGAGCTCTAATATCTCCTTCAGTGAAAGGATGTGGGGTTTGCCCCAAAATTTCTGACATGCCCATGGCCAACCTTCTCTGTTTAAAGCTCAGCAAAGCTGGAGCAGTTCTAAATGCAAGAAAAAAAGCAGCTGTAAGCAGAATTAATTTAGAGTTTCTAATGTAAGGAATGATAATTTTTTTTTTTTTTTAAATTTTATAAAGAACAAATGGTTTCCGGAGTTACGAACAACAGCGGGAAGCTGGAAGGTAATCACTGGTCCTGTCTCCCTTGGGAAGAGGTGTGGGGTGATAGGGGATCCTGGCTGGAAGTGACTCAGCAAGGGTCATGGGTTCCTTTTCAACAGCACCATCTGGGAGGGGGGAAAGCGCTGTGAGTGCAGGGTGCTGAGGTTCCCCTGTGCTGAGGGGAACAGGGTGCTGTGGAGATCCTCCATGGGGAGCCACAGCCACATCTGGATGTGGTTCCAAGGGCAGACCCCATTTGGATGCTGTTCCAAGGGCAGGCTGTTCCAGACACTGTTCCAACGGGAGGCTCCAGCCTCTGCAGCCTGAAGTGGGGTGGGGGTTTGGGGACGCCCTGCCCTGACGTCTCCCTGCCTCGGGTGAACACAGCTCTCTCTGTCCCACAGACAGCTGTTTGTCCTGCGGGAGGAGGAACCCGGCCACCTTCCACCCACTGTTCAAAGGAGGCCTCTGCCAAACGTGCAGGGTAAGTGCTGCAGTGCTGGGGCTGGAGGATGGGGCCGGGATCCATCCAGTGTTGCTGGGACAGGGGGTGGCTGTGCCAGGTCCTGGCCATGCTGTGTCCTCCACGGGGCTGTCCCTTGGCATGTTCTTGCCACCTGAAACACCAAGGATGTGCATCTCCGAGCTCTGGGCGGGTACCAGGGATGGACCAAAGCTGCATTCTCTCTTTACCCTCTGAGCACAGCTCCTGATTCTCTGTCCTTCTCTCCTCCTGGCTGTCCTTTCACTAGGATAGATTCCTGGAGTTCTTCTACATGTATGATGAAGATGGTTACCAGTCCTACTGTGCTGTCTGCTGTGCGGGCAAGGAGCTGCTGCTCTGCAGCAATTCCAGCTGCTGCAGGTGGGCCCCGTGTCTTTGCTCCTGGGGCTGTGGCCCTGACATCATTCCAGCTGTGGGGAGCAGGGTCCTGCATGAGCCTGGACACAGGGGCTGGGCTGCTCCCCAGCTGGCTGCCATGCAGCATGTCCCAGCACAGCCCACTTCTCCCTACTGAGCCAGGCAGCACCTGAATAAGCCCTGGGGAGGTTGGCAGGAGATTTACCCATGCCTTGGGTCACTGGCTTGTGTTAGCAGCCCTAAAAACCAAGGTACTGCCTGGAAAAATATCCTGTAGAACAGGGCAGGGGCTCTGGTGCATGGTAGGGGAGATTCCAGGAGAGGCTGAGGTGACCCAGAGGGGTTCCTGAGGTGACAAGCACGAGGTGTTGTGGTTTGGGCAGGTGCTTCTGTGTGGAGTGTCTGGACGTGCTGGTGGGGCGAGGGACATCGACCAGAGCAAAAATGCAGGAGCCCTGGAACTGCTACATGTGCTCACCCCAGCAGAACTACGGGCTGCTGCAGCGCCGGGAGGACTGGAACACCCGTCTGCTGGACTTCTTCACCAGTGACAAGGGACAGGAATATGTAAGGGCTGTGGGCAGGGAGCCTGGCACGCTGGGGTGTGGGGAAGAGGGTCATGAAGGCCAGGGCAAGTGGCTTGGAATTCCTCTTCCCTCTGCCTTGGTCTTGTTCCTTCACCCTCTCCAAGGGTGCTGGGCTCTTGGCCCTGCAGATGCTCTCCTGAAATCAGAGGTGATGCCTGCAGAGCTGATGCCTGCAGAGCTGAAGTTTGGCCTCATAAGGTGATGAAGCACTGCCAGGGCTGGGGCTTCATGGCTGTTTCCATTGCAGGCTGCACCCAAAATCTACCCAACAGTCCCGCCAGCAAAGAGGAGACCAATCCGAGTGCTCTCGTTGTTCGATGGGATAGCAACAGGTGAGGCTGTGGGGAAGCACTGCCTGGTGGCTTTTCAGCACTGGGCAGCAGAGATGAATCATTCCATGGACTCAGACCTGTCTCTGAAAGCTTGTTGGGGAGAAGGGGGTGAAGACAGCAGGGATCCCCATCAGCAGGGGGCGAGAGCAGGAGAAAGGGAAGGATGGATGGAAGGAGGGAGGGAGGCATGGGAGTTTTGCTCACAGAGGTTCAGGTGGCTGGTTCCCCTGAGAAGCCAGAGCTGTGGGAAGAACAGCAACCTGCCCTCTGGTGAAATGCTTGAGGGCAACTGGTTTGGGTCAGTTCACTCAGCTCTGGCATTCTGCTTTCTGGGAGCAAACGGTGCCTGGAGGAATGGGTCAAAAAAAAGTTTGCTCATCCTGAAGTCTTGTGTGACTGCCCCCACCTAGGACATCCAGGAGCAGCCACATCGAGCTCTGCTGACGAAGGAGACCGGGAGGCCAAAGAGAGCAGTGCGACCTCAGACCTCTGTCCATTGGCAGGGTACATGGTGCTGAAGGACTTGGGCATCCAAGTGGAGAAGTACATCGCCTCGGAGATCGGCGACGACCCCATTGCGGCGGGCACCGTGCGGCGGCCCGAGGGCAATATCACCTACGTGCACGATGTCAGGAACATAACCAAGAGAAATGTGAGCTCCGCTTCTGTGGGGAGCCGGGGGATGTGGCCCCGTGGGTGTGTGGGTCTTACCCCACCAGCCCTGGGATGGGCTTGTCCCCTACGCAACCGGGGAGGAGAGATGCACTTCCATGGCATTTCCTAATGAATGGGCTGGTGTGTCTGTTCCCTGTAGATTGAGGAGTGGGGTCCTTTTGACCTGGTGATCGGTGGAACCCCCTGTGATGACCTCTCCCTTGTCAATCCAACCAGGAAGGCGCTGTTTGGTAAGGCTGCTTCACCTCTGCTGAGCTGGGTACCCCAGGGTGTTCTGGGTCATGGAGCCACCTTACAGCCCAGGGAAGTGTTTCAGCCCCAGGGTGTGTTGGTGGTGGCTCCTTATGGCACCTGCAGAGCACAGGCTGTTTCCGTGCCTGCTGTGGTGGAGAGGGCAGCCAGGCCCCCCCGGCACCCCATTCCCGATGCCTCAGCTGGTCCCAACCTGCTGCTCTGCTTTTTCCCTGCAGAAGGAAGCGGGAGGCTGTTCTTCGAGTTCTACCACCTGCTCAACTACGCCCGTCCCAAGGAAGGCGAGGAGCGGCCCTTCTTCTGGATGTTTGAGAATGTGGTGGCCATGAGGGTCAATGACAAGAGGGACATTTCCCGGTTTCTGGAGGTAGGGATTGCTGCTGCCTGCAGGAAAGGCGTCACAGCAGGTGACACTTGCTGGGCTGTGCAGGGTGGGCCAGCTGTGAGGGTCTGGCTATGGTTTCCTGTGGCCTCAATGCTGGAAAACCCCCTGCCTGGTGCACATGCCGAGGAATCAAGTTTAGTCTTGGCTCTGCATCCTCCCCTCTGGCTTTCAGCAGGTCAAACCCAAGCACTAGTCCTTCGGGGGAGGGGTTTTGCCAGCCTTGAAGAAAGCATCTGTTCAGAGCAATGCCTGTTATTTCCAGGGAGAGGGAGGTCAGGGACTGGGAAGGGTTTTTAACTCTGTGGTAGCCAGGACGGGCTGTGAGTCAGCAGGGATCCTGGTGTAAAAGCCCCATCAGAGGCTGACAGTTCTGATCCTGGCCCAGGGGAACCAGCACTGAGCACCCTGTGAGGGTTATTAGCTGCTGGCCATGGCCATGACCTGGGAGCCCATGTGGCCAACCAAGACATGCTGTGGTGTGGAACAGGGTTTGTGGGGGCTACATCCTCAGGAGGATTTGCTGGAGACTTTTAAGTCCCTGCAGTGCAGTGGGAAGGGCTTTTCCTGCAGCAGAGGACTAAACCCACATCTCCTTTAACTTTTATTTCCCCCCTCTCTTGCCCCCAGTGTAACCCAGTTATGATTAATGCGATCAAGATATCTGCTGCCCACCGAGCTCGTTACTTCTGGGGCAACCTCCCGGGGATGGACAGGTAATCAATCCGTCCTTTGCTGTCCTCTTGAATCTCTCGCTGTAGTTTTTGTTGGGTTGTGCTGCTCATGTGGGTTTTTTTGCCTCCCTGGCTCAAAGCCCAGCTCCTGGGAGTGAGGAGCTGCAGCTCCCGCACGGGGCAGCTTCCCTGCAGTGATGTGCACATGATAATTAATGCACTTACTAATGAGCAGTGACTGTGGGAAAAGTGTAGTAGCATCCTGTGCCCTGGACCTGAGGCATGTGGAAGGAAAAATGATGGGGCTTGCACAGGGTGCTGTGTGATGGGTCTGGCGGGGGGTGTGCATGTGCCCCAGCCTTGGTGTAAGGCCCAGGCTGATGTGGGGGTGCTGTATGGCAGCCCTGTGCCCTGTGCCATGGTGGAGGGGTTTGCTGGAGGTGAACCAAGCAGCCACTGGATCTCAGCTGGGTGTAGTGGCATGGGGAAGCTCATACTGCAGAAGGCAGCTGCTGAGGCAAAGCATGGCAGCACTGCACTCCTCCAAACCCTATTCACACCCTGAATTCGTGGCAAAAAAACAACAGAAGGACTTTGAGTAGATAAAATCCAATTGGAGTAATCCTGCACACCAAATACTCCTAGTGACAGAACCTGAAGTTTTTGCATAGCGGATGCTTTGGCCAGTAAACACAGACTGGGGTTAAATATTTTTGTTTGTTTATTTAAATTCCCAGTATTTGTTGGAGTTAACACTGAGCTAAAGGCATTTGAAAGTAAAATAATTCCCAAGCCTTTGTCATGTGAAATGGCTCTTGGACTTTCATCTGATTGTAAGGGAAGTGCCCAGCCCATGACTCAGAGCTACCCAGAGCTACTCATTCCTATCTCCATGGAGTAGCCTGAGGTGGTGCTTGCAAAGGTGCTGCTGAGCAGAGGCAGGCAGGATGCCACTGGCACAGGGCTTCTCCAAAAGCCTTGCCAGGAAAAAGCTACAGAGGGCACAGGGAAAGGTGGGCTGCCACTGCCTGTCCCCATTCAGAATGGTGACACTGCTCAGGCCATGTGGGGCTCTGACCACGCTGGGGAGCAGAGTGCCCTTCCCATAGGAGATTCCAGATGCTCTGTGTCTCTGGTGGCTCAGGAGCAGGGCTGGCCAGAGAAAGGGGCTCCTGCTTCTGCTCTGTCTCACCCACCATCTCCTGCCTCTACTCCTCAGGATCTTCGGCTTCCCCCTCCACTACAAGGACGTCTCCAACATCGGCCGCGGGGCTCACCAGAAGCTGCTGGAGAAATCGTGGAGCGTCCCGGTCATCCGGCACCTCTTCTCCCCGCTCAAGGATTACTTTGCCTGTGAATAGCAAGCCGAGCGTCCCTCGTCTCTCTGGTAAAGGTGCACAGCGCCGCTGCTGTGGCGGGAGAGGGACGGGCACGGCTGCCAGACTGCCAGGGCCCCGTCCCTCCCCGGCCACGTGCTGCGGGACGGCAGCCTGGCCCTGCAGGGAGAGCCGTCTGTAACCAAAGAACCTGGCAGGGTCACTTCTTTAAAGGGACTAATGGCAGTGATTCGTAGGAAATGATGGACAAGGAGCTTTAATTACCCAGCGCAGGAGCTCTGTGCATCACTGATGAGATGGGGAGTCTCCTCCACAGCATTAACTATTCCCGTTGAGCCTGGAGCTGGGAAGTCACCACTTGCTGAGCAGTCAGTGTGGGGGCAGCTGCCAGGGAGCTGCAGGCAAACCTGAACTACAGTGAATTAATGCTTTTCCTAAACAAACAAAACCTCTTGAAGCAACTGCCAAAAACCCCCAAACCATAGCAGCAGGTGTAGGGGACCCTGCTCAGGTTACACACTGAACACAGGATTATACAGAAACCAAATCGTTTTTATTTTTATTTTTTTTATAAACTTTACTTTTGTTGTTTTAATGTCTATTGCTGCTTTTAAGGCATTACATAAGAATGTGGAGATTCCTAGACCTGAATGTAGCTGAAACTGAACTGTGAGGTGATAGAATTACTTTTCTAGCTAGAACTGAAGAAATACTGTTTTATGTGTTTGGCTGTAGTTTACAGATATTCACTACTTCCTTTTTAAAGCATCTAAAACCTCTCCTTACATTTTAAAATCCTGCTGAATGGCTTGAAAGCTTACACAGTAATTGGAGCAGGGAGGATTTGGTCTCCAGTGTCTGTAAAGGAAGATGTTCTTGGAGCATCCATTTCCCAAATGAATGTGGTATGTCAGCAGGAGGGACAGCGTAGTGGTCAATGGCATCCTCAAACCGCAGCCCCCCCAAATGTCACGTACCATATCATGAACCCGAGCAGCAGTAGCAGGGTGTTGGCTGTGGGGCAGGGGGTTCCTTACAGGGAAAATCCCACCCGACCCCTTTGGGGGTGCAAGGTCCAGGAGTGCAGCACCACTCTTGCCCGTGCTCATCTCGTGCTGTGGGCAGGGGGAGTGGACCCTGAGGGGCAGTGAAGTGAGAAAGCTGTGGGGGGGCTGTGTGTGTCCCCCCACTGCAGGCACTGCCACTGCTGGGGGGTCTTGGGGGTGCAGGCAGGGGCTGCACCTCTCCTCCTCTGCGCATCTGTCTCCCTGTGCATCCCTGGGCAGAGGTGGGATGCTGCTGGTGCTTGTGTGCCCAGCCCCAGCCTGGCAGTGCCCTGGGGGCTCCCGTGGATGTATGAACAAACTGGAACCTCCTGCAGCCACCAGTGTGCTCACTTTTGATTGCCTTCCTCTGCTCCCCAACTTTGCCAGACTGATTCTCCCGCTGTCCATGAAGACCTGGGCGTGCTGTGGCCATAGCCAGCATCCAGGGAGGTGTGGGTGCCTGCCTCCATTCCCACCAGGTTTTCCTTAGCCACTGGGCTGCTGCCCCAGCAGGCATCTCTAAAGACTCTGAATTCCAATGCACATTTCAATGCACTGAAACAGCTTGTGACATTCCCCTGTCCTCTGTCCTCCCCTACCTCTGCTGGTCACCTGTCACCTGGCTCTGGCAGAGCCCTTCAGTGCCTTCTCACAATTAATTGGGTCCAAACCATGGGACAACTCACCCCCCTGATTGGTGCTAGGCTGTCTTGCAAGGTGTTGTACAGCATCAGTGGGAAGTGAGAGCCTCTCTTCCAGCTCCTTCTACCTCTCTGACACGCTGGGACCCCCTGGCACCCCTGTCTCAGCTGGTGGAGGATGGCAGCCTCTCATTTTCCACCCTTGTGTGCAGCTTTCCACCCCAGCTCTGAGGATCATTTTCTCTTGGTCACCCCAAGGCTGTACTTGGGAATGGGCAGAAAAGGAAGCCCAGGTAGTTTAAAGGCTTTTTTTCCTGTTTTAACCTGGAAATTACTCTTAAAAAGTCTTCCTTGAGGGGTTCATTCTCCATGACATATATTCAAGCCCCACACCTTTGTCAAGAAAATGCTGCAGAAAGCCAAGTGAGCTGCTTCATGTCACTTCCTGGGGACATGTAGCACTGTCTTGTCACCAGGCCCTGGGCTGGGAAGATGGCAGGGTGGGTTCTGTGTGTGCTGAAGGTGTTTGGGAAGCCTTGGCATTGCCACTGCTGCACTGGCTGGTTTTGAACCCCTCGCCAACCTCTCTGATCCTTGTGTCCAGCTGGAGCCCAGCCACAACACTAATTCCTCATCCCAGCTCCTTGAAGTTCCCGTTCAGAGCCCAGCACGGGGCCTGTGGGTGACAGGCGTCCTCTGCTCTGCACCCCTCTGATGGGTTTGATTTTTCCAAACTGGGCAAACACTCAGTGGAGTGTCCTCCATTCCACAGCATCCCTGATCTTATACTCCAAATCTCACATCCTTTCCTATCTGATCAAAAGGAAAACAAATAGATGAGGGGGGAAAAAAAAGGACTTGGGGAAAGTAAACAAAGATAAAAGAGGAATGAGAATTGTCTTGGCATTAAGCTCACTTGATGAGAATTGTAGCAGACAAGTCTTCCTTGAAATGTTTTTCCCTGTTAAGAGCCGCCTTTTATTATGTGTTTATAAGATGTTGTTAAGGGAGGGGGATTTCAGAAATGCCTTTTTAATACTTTTTAAAGGTTTCTAACTCCCTGGTGCTATTTTTTTAGGTTAAGGATTTTTAATGTTGAACATGTTGCGGGTTTTTGTACAATCTTCTAAAAATAAAAGAAATGTATCGTTTTGAACACATTGTACATGGTTTTTTGTATCCGGAGTGTGGAAACTCCCAACTCTTCCTCGTCCACATGATTCCACTGGTTTCCACGTGGGAAAGAAAGGGGATCCATGTTGACAGTTTACCATTTATCATGTCTGATTAAAAAGGAGTATTTCTGTATGGTTGGACTGTCTTTATTGGGTGAATAAAAGGGGGTTTGCAGCAGGAGGAGGGGCACAGTTGGGGAGCTAGGATGCCCCTTCCCCACTGCTGCTGAGGTGACACACAGTGACACCAAGGTGGCCGGTTCTGGCTGTGCTGGGTGGTAGAGGTCAGGCTGTAGAGGGGAGTCTGATCCCTGGCTGGGCTAGGAATCAACTGCAGCTATTCAGTGAAGATGTAGTCTGTCCCAAATAGGGATACAACCTAATGGGCAGGGACACCTTCCACTACGCCAGGTTGTTCAAAGCCCCATCAGCTCTGACCAACACATAGTTATGGTCAGTTAATTGCTTTTAAGACTAAGGTTATTTTTCAAAAAAAAATAAAAAATTAAAATCTTGTCTCATTATCCAAAGATCTGGGGAACCAGTAAGGACTCAATCATGAAATCAGCAAGACATAATAATTTACCTCTCCTTGACATCTCAGCTTTTACAACATAACTGAAAATAAATGTGTATCTTACAAGTTCAAGCCATCCATCCACTAGACGGATTGCACCGGTGGCAGCAGGACTGCACAATTCTACCAGTTCAGAAAAAATGCCCTTAATTTCAGATTGAAATACGAGAGCCCATCAGTCTGGGCTGGGCTGTGCTGGGGTCTGGGCCTGGCTGTACCGGGTGGTTCGTACCCGGTGGTCGGTGCCAGGTAGTCAGTACTGGGGGGGGGCGGTACCCGGTGATCGGTACCGGGGCGTCGGTGCTGGCTGTACCGGGGGGCTGGTACCTAGTGCTCGGTGCGGGGTGGTTGGTGCAGGGTGGTCGGTCCCGGCTGTACCCGGGGGTCGGTCCCGGCATTCCCCCGCCGCTCCCTCGTTCCCGATCCCCGCGCGACCCCTCGGGCACGCGGGACCCCGCGGTGTGGGCGGGGCCACCGGCTCCGCCAATGGCGGGCGAGCCCGCGGGGCGGGGCAATGCGGATGGGCGTGGCCTACATACGTAGCAACGCGGCTGTTGGCCCCGCCCCTTAGCAACCGGCCCCGCCCTCCCTCCCCTTCTCGCCGGCCCGTCCCGGCGCGCGGCGCTCCCCGCGCGGGGCCGTGACGCGCGCGTGACGCAGGCGCGCAGCGAGCGCGTGACGCGGTCCCGGTCAGGGCGGGCGGGGCCGGTTTGAACGCGGGGCCGACGGGGCGAGCGCGGCGCAGGTACCGGGGCCGGGGCCGGGGCCGCCGCGCGGGAGGGGGGGACCCCGCGCTCTGGGGGGCACGGGGGGCACGGGGGGCGGCCCGGCGGGGCGCCGCCGCTGTGAGGGGACCGGCGCGAGGCCTGCAGGGCCGGGCCGCGCCCCTCCGCGGGCGGGGGTGCGGTGGCGGAGCGGAGCGCCCGGCGGGGGGGCGGTGAGGATGGGTTGGGGGCTGCGTATGGGGGGTATGAGCGGGCCGTGCCCCGCCCCGCGGCGCGGGCGGCCCTGCCCGGCGGCAGCTGCGGCGGCGGCTCCGCTTTGTGCCGGCGGGGCTGGGCGGGGAGCGGCCGCTCGGGGCTGATCCCGCGGGAGATACCGTGAGCCGGGCAGGAAGTGTTCCGGCCGTTCCCGGTGGCGCTGGGGAAGAGAGGGGATGAGTGACTCGCCGCGGCCGTGATTCCTTTTCAGCGGTTCCCACGTGAGCGCCTCGGTGCGAATTTTTCCTGGGAAATCGCGGAGCCGAGCCCCGGGCGGCCGCGGGGAGGGAGGGTCCGCCCAGCTGTTGGCAGCGGGCAGCTCCGTCGCGATGCGCTCGCTGGCGTGTCGGGAAGGCTCAAAAGGAAGCGGCTCCACCTCCACACAGCCCCTGAGCGTGGGGGACCGGCGTCTGCGGCACTCACACCTCTGGTTGTGTCTTTCAGAAAATGGCAGTGAATGTGTATTCTACTTCAGTGACCAGCGATAACTTGAGCCGACATGACATGCTGGCGTGGATCAATGAGTCTCTGCAGCTGACGCTGACCAAGATCGAACAGCTGTGCTCAGGTGAGGAGTCGGTGTCCCAAACAGAGTCCCGAATGGGATGTGCACCCTGGTTCTGCAGAGGTGCAGCTGTGCAGTGTGAGCCCTCTGTGCTGCCCTGCTGTCCTGCTCCTGGCTTAGTTCCTGGTGTGAACAGATTCGTGGTCAGTGTTATGAGCCAGTTATGGTTGGAGTGTTATTGAAGTGGTTGTTAATGGTAGTGTAATGAAAAGGCACGTTCTCCTGACTCACTACAGCATAGGTGCCATAAGGAATGGGCAATAATGTGAAAAAAAGACTGAGGAAGAGAGTGCTTTCCCATGAGGAGGAATTAAGTATTGAGTCTCAATGGGTAGAGTAAGTCTTAACATGGGTAGCTAGCTGAATTATAGAAGAGCACTGGAGTGTGAGGAAGGCAAACTGGTGACTCGTGGGGTCACCTGCAGGACTTTTACAACTCCTTCTGGTCCCAGGGCACGTCAGTCTGTGTCAGCCCAGCTGAATCTCATGTACAGTTATAGGCAGAAAAGGGGAAGTTGTTGTGGTACAGAAATGGAGTCAAATGTCATAGTAGGGAGGGAAGTGTGGAAGGAGGAGGCTTGTAGGAATGAATAAAAGATAATAGTTTGCAGAGCTGAAAAAACCCGAGGCTAAAAATGCAGCCTGAGTATGAGATGATTTGGGTGACTGCAACAGGCACTCAGTGAAAAGTGGAAGTGTAGCTCATACAGTGTCTTTGACTTAAGGTGTTGCTCGTGGGATGAGAGATGTGGAATAAAAGGGGGAACAAATTTAAAATAAGTTTGGGACTGTCGATACAGCCTGGAAAAAACAATCCCAAAGATTACAGAGTAGCAGGGGACTCAAGATAGACATCTGAACAGGTATTTGTGGTGCCTTTTGTCTAATGTGATGATGGAGAATAAACTGCGAGGGTGAAGGAACTAAAGATCTACACCCACAGAAGGAAGGGAAGTGATCAGCACTGTCTGCTTTCGGATGGGCAGGTTAAAAACCTGTCGTGTGCAGGGTTGATTTGCACAGCAGAGAGGTTGTGCATTGGTGTGAGTGTTCAATGCTGTGAGAGCCCTGTGTTGAAGTGAGGGTGATTATTGCTGTCTCTGCAGAATTTCAGCTCACCTGTTTTAAGGGAAAGACGGAGAGCTGTTGATGTACATGCTGAGTAACGTCCCTTTCCTGTGTCTGCAGAAATGCTTTGTGCCTCGGCAGGCATGAAGTGGCTTTTGCTGTCATAGTCCTGTGGAAGCAGGAGTTCCCAAGCTTGCTTTGCTGCCTTTGGCAAGGGCAGTAGTAACAGCAACAGTTTGAGGTTGCATAAATGCACAAAAGATGACCTTTGACTTACGCTGTGATCCCTCTTTTGATCATGCTTATCTCTCAGACTGCCAGTAGTGAGCAAACCCCTGGTTTCTGGCAAGTCCTCTGTGTTTGAGTTGGGATTGGAGTTCTGCAGCAAGTGAACTGAGAGACAGTGGAGAGCAAACAGCAAGAGTTGTTTTTTTTGGTGTGGTGTTTTTTTTTTCTTTTTTAATTTGCATCAGTGGATGATGTCAGTCTTCTGGTAGCAGGTGAAAGTGGGAGCCCCTGCAAAATATCTTGATGGAAAGTGAACTATTATAGAATGTGGTTGAGATGAATAGAGTAGTTTGGGGCAATGCTGTTATATATTACTTCTTGGTTTTCAGATAGCTCCCAAAAGCTTGTTGTGTAGCTGTTTGATGGTTTAGGTTAGGGTTCCCATTACTCCTTAATTAATGCATGCTGGTGGGGGAATAATGCTCCAAATGTTGTGCTGGTGTTTTCAGTGGCACATGCTTGTGTATCATCACTTCAGAGTGATGATCTAGTTTAAATTTTTTTTTTTTTTTTACTGTGTGTGTATATTCTACAAAACCCGATTTTTGGAGGTGATTATCTGCTCTTTGTGGCTGAACTGAATCCCTCTCTTGCTCTTATTACAACAAGAGCTGAATTAGAGGACATGAAGGATTTAAAATTAATAGAAACACTATCTTATTTCAGTTCTTTGATTAAGGCCTGTTTTAAATATAATCCAGCTTAATTGGCCTTTTATCTTGGAGGGCACCTTGAATTGTGTATAGCTTCTATTTCTAGGAAGTAAATTTGGATAATGGTGAAATACGATTTTTAGAATAATGCTTTTTCTGATTTAGTGCTATTAGTGTTGTTAAGAGGAGATTACATGCCTGTTGGACACATGTAGCATCTCAGATCTGTACTGATATCCACGAAGAAAGGCAAGTCAAATTACTCATTGGATTTTTCTTTTTACCTTTGAACTGTGGAGGCAGGATTGCTCTTATTCGTAAGAGTTCAAGTAATGAGCCCAAAAGTTTGGTTCTGCAGCTCCCATAAGCTTATCTGCGGCCATGCTGCACAAAAAAGGAGACTGAAGGTTCCTGTTTTCTTGCCTTTGTTGCCTTTAAGGGCTTGTGTAGCTGAGGAGTCAGGTCAGTTTGCTGATCTAACTGGAAAGTAATTTGTGAAGGTTAGTGAGCTGAGCTGACTTAATTCATCCCAGGATTTGTGTTCTTTTCCTTTTGGCAGGTGCTGCATACTGTCAGTTCATGGACATGCTCTTCCCAGGTTCTGTAGCACTCAAGAAAGTGAAGTTTCAAGCAAAATTGGAACATGAGTACATTCAAAACTTCAAGGTTCTACAAGCAGGTTTTAAACGAATGGGTGTTGACAAAGTAAGCTGGGCTGTAACTGATTTCTCTGTGTTCTTAATGTTGGTGTAGATGGGATGTACTTTCAGATTTAGAGCTGACTAAATCTGGGAGCAGAATTTGCTTTTGGTTTGTAAATCTCAAAACTTTTGGTTTTGGTTTGCATTGGGGTCCTCAATTCATTTAGGACATG